AGCAGCAGCAGCAGCAGCAGCAGCAGCAGCAGCAGCAGGGGGTGGGTGGTGTGCGGGCGGTGCGGGCGGCTGAAGGGGCAGCGGACGCGGCACTGCAGCAGCTGCGGCTGCTGCGTGCTGCGGCATGACCACCACTGCCCTTGGATTGGGCAGTGTGTGGGGCTTTGTAATTTGCGGCAGTTCGTGTCTTTGCTGCTGTTTGGGAGTGGGCTTTGTTGGTTTGCTGCTGCTGCTTTTTGGCGGCCTGCTGCAGTCGTTTTCGGCTTTGCTGCAGTGCAGCAGCAGCAGCAGCAGCACCTGCAGCAGCAGCAGCAGCTCTTCCGCGCCGTCGCCCGCCGCCTGCTGCTCCTCGAGCAGCAGCCCCACTTGGCGCTGCTGCCGCCCCCCGCCTTCTCGCTGCTGCCGCCCGAGGAGGCCGCCCGGGAGCAGCAGCTGCTGCTGCTGCTGCAGCAGCAGCAGCAGCAGCAGCACCGCCTCCGCGCCGCCCGCAGCAGGGGGCTCCTCCCCTACGCGCTGCAGCTGCTGCTGCTCTGGGCAGCAGGCCCGCAGCCAAGCCCCCCGCCGCCCCCCACGCAGCAGCAGCTCAACGCTGCAGCACTCGACGCCTGGAAAGCTGCTGCTGCTGCTGCTGCTGCTGCTGCTGCTGCGCACGCCGAGCCAGGACCCGCAGCAGCAGCCCGCCCCGACGACGCCCCCGCAGCAGCAGCAGCAGCGGCGGCGAAAGAGCCCCCCCCCGCGACGCGCCAGCAGCAGCAGCAGCAGCAGCAGCAGCAGCAGCAGCGGGCGGCGGCGTTTGCTGCGGGCGTTGCTGCTGCGCGGCAGTCAGCAGCAGCAGCAGCAGCAGCGCTGGCAGGCGCTGCACCCTTCAGCAGCAACGTGTCCGCGTTTGCTGCCGCAGCAGCAGCAACTCCCAGCCTGCGGCACTTCGTGTTTGCTGCTCTTTGTGTTGCTGTTAATGTGGGGTTTGGAGTGTCTTTGCTGCTGCTGCTGCACCTCTACCTCGCCCTCTCCAACCAAACCACTCTCGCCCTCCTGGTCAGCTGTACAGACACCCCAGCTGTACAGACACCCCAGCTGTACAGACACCCCAGCTGTACAGACACCCCACAACCTGCGCAGACACCCCACAAGCTGTACAGACACCCCAGCTGTACAGACACCCCAGCTGTACAGACCCCACAACCTGCGCAGACACCCCACAAAAGGTGTACTGACACCCCACAAGCTGCACAGACACCCCACAACCTGCACAGACACCCCACAAAAGCTGCACAGACACCCCACAAAGCTGTACAGACACCCCACAGAGCTGCGCAGACACCCCACAGAGATGCACAGACACCCCACAAAAGCTGCACAGACACCCCACAAATTGCTGCACATACACCCCACACAGCTGCACATACACCCATATACACCCCACAAAGGTGTACATACACCCCACAGGGCTGTAGATACATCCCATACAGCTGTATATACACCCCACAAAGGTCTATATAAACCCCACACACCTCCACATACACCCCACACACCTCCACATACACCCCACACACCTCCACATACACCCCACACACCTCCACATACACCCCACACAGCTGTACATACACCCCACACAGCTGTACATACACCCCACACAGCTGTACATACACCCCACACAGCTGTACATACACCACACACACCTGTAGTTACACCCCACAAAGGTGTACATACGCCCTACGTAGCTGTACATACACCCCACACACCTTCACGTACACCCCGCACACCTCCACGTACACCCCACAAAGCTGCACGTACACCCCACAAAGCTGCACGTACACCCCACAAAGCTGCACATACACCCCACAAAGCTGCACATACACCCCAACAAGCTGCACATACACCCTAAAAAGCTGCACATACACCCCACACCCCTGCACATACACCCCACACAGCTGTACATACACCCCACAAAGCTGTGCATACACCCCACAAAGCTGTGCATACACCCCACAAAGCTGCACATACACCCCACAGAGCTGTAGCTACAGCTCAAAGCCCTGCCCGTACACCGCGCCACCGCGCGCCAGCTCTCCCCGCCCTCACCGCTGCTGCTGCTGCTGCTGCTGCTGCTGCTGCTGCTGCTGCTGCTGCTGCAGAGCAACTTGGAGAAGCGGGACGTGGGGCTCCTGGCGTTTTTGCTGTTTCCCTTTCGCTCAAGTGCTGCTGCTGCCTTCGCCCCTTATAATAAAGGCTGGCGAAAAAACCTGCAGCAAGTTTTTGGCCCCACGCCTCTCCGCGCCCTTCTTTGCCCCTGGATCAAGCTGCCTCAGGAGGGCCTCTTCGACTAGCTAGCTAGCTAGCTAGCTAGCTAGCTAGCTAGCTGGCGGGGTAGCTAGCTAGCTAGCTAGCTAGGTGGCGGGCTGGCTAGCTGGAGGGCTGGATGGCCAGCTGCCTAGCTAGCTAGCTGGCGGGCTGGATGGCTAGCTAGCTAGATAAATGGCGGGCTGGCTAGCTAGCTGGCTAGCTAGCTGGAGGGCTGGCCGGCTAGCTAGCTGGCTGGCCGCAGAGCTAGCTAGCTAAACGCAGCGCGGGCTAGGTACGCAACTGGCTGGCCAGCTAGCTAGTCAGCTAGCTAGTCAGCTAGCTAGCCAGCTAGGTACGCAGCTAGCTAGCTAGCTAGTAAGCTAGCTAGCTAGCTGACAGGCAGCACCCAGACAAAGCCAGCCACGACGCCGTGTTTGGGTGGCGCAGCGAAAGAATCTGCTGCTGCGCAGGCAAAACCTGCCTTGAGGCCAGCTAGCTAGCTAGCTAGCAGCATAGCTAGCTGGCTAGCTAGCTGGCCAGCTGGCTCAGCTAGCTAGCTGAATTGCTGGCTAGCTGGATAGCTAGCCAGCGGAACATTTTGCTGGGCAGCGGAAAAAGCTGCTGACCAGCCAAGCAGCTAGCTGGCTGGCTAACTAGCTAGCTAGCTGAGCAATCAACTGGCTAGCTAAGGAACCATCTTTTTATCTGACTAGCTAGCTAGCTAGCTAGCTAGCTAGCCAAGGCTGTCTCTCCGTGGCAATTTACAGAAGACAGTGGCGCACTGGGGCCATCTGACTAGGGCTTGCTGCTAGGGCTAGCTAGGGCTAGCTAGGGTTTAGGGTTTAGGGTTTAGGGTTTAGGGTTTGTCGGTTTAAAACAAAAATGAAGCCCCCTTGCGGGGGCCCCTTGCTGGGGCCCCCGAGCTGGTGGAAGCAAATAAGGGGGGCCCCTCAGTGCTGCTTGGAGGGCCCCCGCAGGAGGCGGAAGAAGCTTTCGCGGGGCGCGGCGTCTGCTGCTGCTGCTGTTGCTGCTGCTGCAGTCGTGGTAGTGATGGTAGTAGTAGTGGTGGTCGTGCTGCTGCTGCTGCTGCTGCTGCTGCTGGGAGCGGGCGCGAGCGTGGTGGTCGTCGTCGTCGTGCTGCTGCTGCTGCTGCTGGGCGCGAGCGTGGTGGTGGTCGTCGTCGATGGCTCTGCTGCTGCTGCTGCTGCTGCTGCTGCTGCTGCTGCTGCTGCTGCTGCTGCTGCTGCTGCTGCTGCTGGTGGTTTCGGGGCAGTACTTGGGTCCCGAGACTGCGCCTTCCTTCAAGACAAGTCCTAGAGGAGCATTTTCGTTTTTGAAGTAACAAAAGTTTTGGAAAAAAGTGAAGAAGGCGCAGCCCAGGGTGTACTGACACAGCAGCTGGCAAGCCTTCGGAGTTGTTGCTGCTCCCAAACTAATTGCTGCCAAGTCCGCGCCTGCGTAGTCGAAGTTCTCCAGGTAGCAGTCCCGCGCCCCCGGGCACGGCGTGCTCGTCGACGTGCTGCTGCTGCTGCTGCTGCTGCTGCTGCTGCTGCTGCTGCTGCTGCTGCTGCTGGAGGTGGAGGTGCTGCTGCTGCTGCTGCTGCTGCTGCTGCTGCTGCTGCTGCTGCTGGAGTTGAAGAGGGGGCTGATGGTGAGGTTGCAGTAGCGGGTGCCGGAGAAGGTGAGGGGGTTGTACTGGCGTGCTGCTGCTGCTGCTGCTGCTTTGAGGTAGCAGCTGCTGCTGCTGGGGACGAAAGTCCAGAAGAAGCAGCTGCTGAGGTCTTTGCAAAGCTGCTGGCAGCTGGCAGGGTCTGGGACGGAGCCTTCGAAGGCCTGGAGGTCGCTGCCGGGGAAGTCGGTGGCGGCTTCGCAGGGCACTGCAGCAGCAGCAGCAGCAGCAGCAGCAGCAGCAGCAGCAGCAGCAGCGCAGCTGCGCGGCCCCGAGACCGCCTCCGCGTGCGGCCGCGGCTCCACCTGCGGACCCTTCAAGAAGCAGCTGCTGCTGCTCGGCAAAAAGGTCCAAAAGACACAATCAGCAGCAGCAGCACATTGGAACTGACACGCCAAAGCATTTGCCACTTCTGTGGAAATTAAATCTCCTCCAAAAAGATCAAGTCCGGCTTCTGAGCACTCGGGGGGGCCTGGACAGAGGCGGGGGCCGGACACGATCCCAGCTCCGGGCGCAGCAGCAGCAGCAGCAGCAGCAGCTTTCATGTAGCAGCTGCTGCTGCTGCTCTGGTACACCCAGAAGAAGCAGTCCCCCCGCGCCAGACACTGCTGCTGGCATGCAGCAGCAGAAAACACTTTCCCCACAAGCCGGTCCACCTCAGGGCCCTCGTAGTCCACGTCTGCTTCGTAGCAGCCCAGCCTGCGCAGCAGCAGCAGCAGCAGCAGCAGCAGCAGCAGCAGCAGCAGCAGCGGCAGCAGCGGCAGGGGGAGCGGCAGGGGGAGCGGAGGGAGCGGCGGCGGCAAAGGCGGCAGCAGGGAGGGGTGGAGGGGGCAGCAGCAGCAGCGGCAAAGACAGCAGCAGCAGCAGCAGCAGCAGCAGCAGCAGCAGCAAAGACAGCGCAGAGAGGGTCTTTTCAGGGATCGCTTTTGGGAGGGACCCGGGAGCGGGATCGAGTGGGGAGCGGCTGGGGATCGGGATCGGGATCGGGATCGGGATCGCTTTGCTTACGCAGGAGCTGCAGCAGAAAGGGCAAAAAGAGCCCCGAGGAAAAGTTTGGTGTGCATGTTGGTGACCTTTGGGGTGTACGTACAGCCCAGGGGCTCGCGCGTCTGCGAGGCTTTTGAAACAAATTTAATTTAATTTAAAATTAAAATTAAAAGCGCCTTAAAAGAAGAAATTTAAAGAACTGGGGGCAGCAGCAGCTGCTGCTGCTGCTGCTGCTGCTGCTGCTGCTGCCGCCCCCAGGGTCACCCCTGGCGGGGGGAGACGGCGTGCTGCCAGCTGCTGCAGCAATAGGCTGGCGAGTCTATAAGAGACGCAGCAGCAGCAAATATAATTTATTTATTTTTTATTTTTTATTTTTTATTTCAAAAACAATTCACAAACAAAACCCAAAAAACTGCAGCGCCACCCCCACCTGCTGCGCTGCTGCAAGCAGCAGCAAACAGCAGCAGTTGCTGCAGATAGCTGCAAAGAGCTGCTGCAGCAACCCGCAGCTAGCTGCAGCTAGCCACAGCTAGCCACAGCTAGCCGTGGCTAGCTGCGGCTAGCTGCAGCTAGCCACAAACTGCGGCTAGCCAGCTGCTGCCGCTGCGCTCTTGCCTTCGCAGCCAACGAGACGCAGTGGCCACCTAAACCCTAAACCCTAGACCCTAAACCCTAAACCCTAAACCCTAAAACCTTAGGCCCTAAATCCTAAACCCCAACCAACAAGCTGCTCCTCACCAGCTCGGCGGGGCTAACTGTGATTAGCCGCAGCTAGCTGCGGCTAGCTGCGGCCAACTGTGGCTAACTGTGGCTGGCTGCGGCTAACTATGGCTAGCCGTAGCTAGCTGTGACTAGCTGCAGCTAACCACAGCTAGCTGCGACTATCTGTGGCTAACTCAGCTGGCTGCGGCTAGCTGTGACTAGCGGTGGCTAGCCGTGGCTAGCCGTGGCTAGCTGTTGCTAGCTGTGGCTAGCTGTTGCTAGCTGCGGCTAGCTGTTGCTAGCTGTGGCTAGCTGTGGCTAGCTGTGGCTAGCTGTGGCTAGCTGTGGCTAGCTGTGGCTAGCCATTAACTCCTTGGGGTTTCTTTCCTTGAAGTCAACGCTGCAGGCTTTGCTGGCTTCTGCAGGCGCAGGCAGTCTTGGCTAGCCATCCAGCTAGCTAGCTAGGTAGCTAGCCATTTGGCTAGCTAGGTGGGTAACTAGCCATCTAGCTAGCTAGCTAACAGGCTAGCCATGCAGCTAGCTAGCCAGACGGCTAGCCACTTAGCTAGCTAGCTAGGTAACTAGCCATCTAGCTAGCTCGCTAGCTAGCTAGCTAGTCATCTAACAGTCTAGGTAGCTGGCTAGCTAGCTTGGCGACTGGGCAATTTGGCTAGCCAACAGCTAGCTGCCATCTAGCTACCAGCTAGCTGCCAGCTAGCTGCTGGGTGGCTCCTTGGGGCCGCCCCAGGGCAGGGTAAAAACTGCTGCAAGCCAGCAGTACCCTTCATGCTGCTGTTGCTGCTGCTGCTGCTGCTGCTGCCACGGGCCTCTACGTAACGACGTGACATGGGGAGACTGACAACAGCAGCAGCAGCAGAAGCAGCAGCAGCAGCAGCAGACGCAGCAGCAGCAGCGCGCATCTGGTCTATGGCATTTCTGAAGCCCCTGCGGGCAGCCACACTCTCACTGCTGCTGCTGCTGCTGCTGCAGCAGCAGCTGCTGCTGCTGCTGCTCGCAGAAATCTAAAGGCCTTATCTGCTGGTGTAGAGAAGCAATGCACTGCTACAGGAGATAAGGCAGCAGCAGCAAAGAAAGCAGCAGCAGCAGCAGGAGCTGCGTAACAGCAGCAGCCGCAGCAGCAGCAGCAGCCGCAGAACAGCAGCAATCAACGACTGCAGCACTAGTGGCAAACTGACGTTTCTATATGCGATAAATGGCGTGCAGAATTGTTTCTGCAGCCGCCGCTGCAGCTGTTGCTGCTGCTGCTGCTGCAGCTGTTGCTGCTGCTGCTGCTGCTGCTGCTCTCCCATCAGCAGCGCAGAACGGGGCAGCAGCACAAAGAGCCCCGGAAGTGACAGAAAAATGGCTCTTCAGTTAGTAAGGCTGAGCCTCAGCAGCAGCAGCTGCAGCAGCAGCAGCTGGAGCAGCAGCAGCAGCAGCACCCGCATTGGCGGCGGCGGCAGCAGCAGCAGCAGCAGCAGCAGGGGAGCTGGTACCCTTTTGTTAACCGCCAAGGGGGCCCCCCTATGCGCGGGGCCCCCCTCAAAGCCAGCTGTGTGTTGCTGCTGCGTGGAGTGTGAAGCAGCAGCAGCAGCAGAAGTGGCACTAGGGGGGCCCCCAGGGTCCCAGGAAGCCCCAGGGGCCCCCTGGGCCTTTAGGGGGCCCCCAGCTTCATCTAAATTGACGAAAAGTACCCTTTTGAATAACTTTAGAAAGCAGAAAGCCCTAAAAGTTGGTGATGGGGCCCTCGGCGGCAGCAGGGGCCCTGCTGCTGCAGCGCATGCAGCGGCTGGGGCTGCGCAGCAGCAGCAGCAGCAGCAGCAGCAGCGGGAAGCTGGCTGCGATTTGATTTGTACTCTGCTTTGGGAGGCCCCTAAAGTTCTTAAAGCCCTCAGCTGTCTCCTCTGCACCCTCTGGGGGCCCCCACTCGAGGGGGCCCCTCCCGTGCGCCGCAGGGCAGCAGCAGCAGCAGCAGCAGCAGCAGCGGGAAGCCGCCTCTTTAGTGTCCGCGTTGACTTAGCCGCTGGGACGTGTTCAGCTGCTGCTGCTGCTGCTGCGGGTGCTGCTGCTGCTGCTGCAGCTCCCGGCGCCGCCGCTGCTGCTGCTGTGCTGCAGCAGCGGCAGCAGCAGATTCGCTCCTGTCTCCTTATGGAGCAGTAGATACACCCCAAGGAGACTTCCAGGGCCCCTGCTGCTGCCTGCTGTCTCTTCTGCAGCAGCTCAGTCCCTGTCTCTTTGTGGCCTCGCGAAGCCCTGCTGCAGCAGCAGCAGCAGCAACAGCAGCAGCAGCAGCGCCAGCAGCAGCAGCAGCAGCACGAGCAGCCGAAGATGCTGCAGCAGCACCACTCGTCCGCCCCTCAGCAGCACGCAGCCCCCGCCTCCATGGGCCCCCTGGACCCCCCCTCTGGAGCGAAGGAGGGGCCCCCTGGGGGCCCCCCGGGGGCCCCCCTGGGGGCCCCCCCGGGGGCCCCCGTGGCACTTTATGGGTACTCTGGGGCCCTGGGGTACCAGGGGTCTGTGGGTGCTGCTTCGCGGGCGGGTTCGCTGGCGCCGCAGCAGCAGCAGCAGCAGGCCGCGTCGCAGCAGCAGCAGCAGCAGCAGCTGCTGCTGCGGCCCAGCGTGGCTGCTGCAGCAGCAGCAGGCGCAGCAGCAGGGGCCCCCCCCGCCTACGCCAGCCGCCCCTCCGTGGGCCTGGGGGCCCCCCCTGCTGCAGGCCGGGTGTCTCTACACCCCGCAGTCGGGGTGTCTCCGGACCTTGTGGTGTCTCTCTTCTTAGACCTAGAGGGGCCCCCCGGGGGGGGCCCCCCGGGGGCCTCCGGGGGGGCCCCCGGGGGGGCCCCCGGGGGCCCCCGGAGGTGGTGCGAACGCGTGCTGCTGCGTGGGGCTGTGGTGGCGCTGCAGCAAGTGCTGCTGCTGGCAGCAGGGGAGCGGCTGCATCCGCTGCTGGCAGCAATTGAAGGACAGTCGAGTCCTTCTCCGCGTTTTTGCTGCTTGAGGGTGTTTGGGAGGGTG